GATTTCTCACTTTCTGTCTCTATGTCTCTCTGTGTCTGTCGGGTGAGCGCACGCACCCTATAGCAAAAACTTCTCAAAAAAAAAAAAAAAAAAACCCCCCAAAAAAAAAAAAAAAAAAACCCCCCAAAAAAAAAAAAAAAGGTAAACTGTATGCAAAAGAAACAGTTTCTGTTTGGGCCGGCAGGTAGCATGGTGGTTAAGGCGCTGGATTCCCACATGGATAACCACAGTTCAAGTCACAGACCTGGTGGTTTGCTTTCTCACTCTTCCTTTCTCTCTGTCACTCTCTGGTCAAAATTGCAGAATAATAATTAATAAAATTATAAATAAATAAGTCTTTAAAAAAAAGAGAAAGTTTTTGCCTTTACAGGGAGACAGAGAATAAAAGAGATAAATAACTAAAGTATGTATAGTGGTTTGTGTGGTGACTTAGATGGTGCTAAGAACTGTAGAGAGTGGCCAGCAGGTAGTGTGGTGGTTAAAGTAGCTGGACTCCCACATGGTTGACCACAATTCAAGTCCCAGACCTGGTATCTTTCTGTCTTTCTCTCTCTCTGGTCAACTTCAAATAATAATAATAATAATAATAATAATGAATACAATTAAATAATTCTTTTTTTAAAGTGTGATGTGGTGGTTAAGGCACAGATCATGGTTCAAGTCCCGGGCCTGGCAGCCTGCTTTCTCACTTCCTCTCTCTCTCTCTCTCTCTCTCTTTGTCTCTGTCTGGTGAGTATGCATGCCCTGTAGCAAACTGGAAAATGATGATAATGATAAATAAAATTAAATAAATAATAATTTTATAAAAAAGAACTGTAGGAAGTATAAAGCAAAGACAAGGGATGGGGGAGTGGGTGATGTGGTAAGACCCCGACACTGTAAATACGGTGGCCAGGAAGGGCTCATGGACAATTGACACTTGAGCAAAGACTTGAAGGAAATACAAAAGTGAGGCAAGAGGGAGAACCAGCAGTTAGCGTAATGGCTATGTCGCTGGACTCCCACGTAGTCAACCGCAGTTCGTGTCCCGGGCCCGGTGGCTTAAAACTCACGCCGGGCGCGTGTGCGTGCGTGCCCAAGATCCCGAGAGGAGAATGGAGGAGAAGGGATTGCGGCGTGACCATCCCCCCTGGGGGGTGATTTCTCGCTTTCTGTCTCTATGTCTCTCTCTGTCTGTCTGGCGAGCGCACGCGCCCTACAATGAAAATCTCTCAAAAAAAAAAAAAAAAAAAGTGAGGCAAGAGGGCCTGGACCAGTGGCTTGAAAATCACACCGTGTGTGTGAGCGTACATGCCCAAAATCCTGAGAGGAGACTGGAGGACAAGGGATTGCGCTACGGCCATAGCCTCTGGAAGGTGATTTCTCACTCTCCCTCTTTTTTTTTTTTTTTTTTTATTTTTCCTCTCTCTCTCTGGCTTGTGCACACATCCTATAGCAAAACATTTAAAAATAAATAAATAAAAATAAGAAAACTTAAAACAAAAATAAAGTGAACCGAGAAATTGAGAAAGTGAGAGATCACCCCCTTGAGGGGATGGCCACACTGTAACTCCTTCTCCTCCATTCTCCTCTCGGGGTTTTAGGCACCCTTGCACATGCTTCCAGGGTTTTTCCAGCTGCCAGTCTAGGACTCGAACTGTGGAGTTGGCCGTGTGGGATCTAGCTACCTTAACCTCCGTGCCCTCTGCTACCCTGTGAGGGGTTTTCTGTGATCTAATCACCACCTACCAGGCCTTACTAATTAAAAGTCTCCTCACCTCCCAATGCCATTACACTAGGAACCAAATTCCGAAACATGGACCTTTGGGGACAAGCCATTGTCAGAAGCATGGGGGGAACAATTACCATTAGACAGTGCTGGCACAGCAACTGCTGGCACCACGAAGTCTGGGTGATCTGGACACTTTAAGATGGGGAAGGGGACAAAACCTGGTTAGAAAAGGTTAAGAGGGGCCATCAGGTGGTGTGGTGGTTAAGGCACTGGACTCCTACATGGCCAACTGCAGTTCAAGTCCCAGATCTGGTGGCTTGAAAAATCACATCGTGCGTGTGTGTGCATGCATGTGCATGCATGCATGTATGCGTGTCTATGTGCCAGCGATCCAGACTGGAGAATGGAGAAGGGACTGCTGCATGGCCAGCCCTCTGGGGGGTAATTTGTTACTTTCCCTCTTTCAGTCTCTTTTCAGCAAGCATGCCCCTATGGCAAAAACAAACAAACAAGGTTAAGAGAGAACGTGAGCAGAAAATATGAAGGCAGTGAGTGCAGATGACTTTTCTGAGCAGTTTTACTGTAAAAAGGAACAAAGAAATGGAGCTGTAGCTGGAAGGGGAGAGAGGGTGGGGAGTGTTTTAAGGTGGGAGGGACAACACGTTTGGGCTGGTGGGAAAACTTCACTGCAGCAGGGGGACCAGAAGGCAGCAGAGAGAGGGGAGAGTCCTGGGATCACGGGCTGGAGTGGGCTGCAGCGGTGGGAGCAGATGACAGGCAGTCCCAGTGGAAAGTGGGTGTGGGCACAGGCGCAGGGAGGTAGTCAGGTGGTCGGTGCGGAGGCTGAGGCCTGGGGGAGTTTGCAACTCATTGCTTGTATTTTCTCTGCCAAGTGTCAGGAGAGAGTGAAGAGGTGAGAGGAGGAGCAAGGAGTGAGGGGAGAGGGGAGGAGGTGTGAAGTAGTTGTCTAGAAGAGAGGAAGAATGGGGGGCCAGCAGGTGTGGCATGGTGGTTAAAGGTGCTGGATTCCCACATGGCCGACCTCGGTTAGAGTCCTGGACCTGGCAGCTTCCTTTCTCACTTTCCCTTTCTCTTTCTGTCTCTGGCCAAATTAAAAGAATGATAATAACAATAACAAATGTAATTAAATATTTTTTAAAAGAGAGGGAGGCAGAATGAGGGGATAAAAGAAATACATTATTGGGGTCAACAGGTGGTCCACATGGCTGACCCAGTTTGAGTCCCGGACCTGGCAGCTTGAAACTCCTGCCAGACATGTGTGTATGTGTGTGCACATGTGCGCATGCCCAAAATCCTGAGAGGAGAATGAAAGAGAAGGGATTGCAGCATGGCCCTCCCCCCTTTCTCTCTGCCTCTCTCTGTCTCTCTGGTGAGTGCATGTACCCTCTAGCAAAAATCCCCAAAACAAGGGAGAGAAAGAGAGAGAGAGAAAAGCATTCTTACTAGCAGGCAGCCTGAGGGTCGTGTTCACAAGCCCGAAGTGATACTGGCCCGGGGGTGTTGTGGTGTTCTTCAACCACCTCTAGCTGTGTGGGAACAGGCACGGGAGGCCAAGGGCTGGATGTAGCCAGGACCACGTGTAGGAGGAAGCCTAAAGGAACAAGAGTGTGTGCAAAGAATGTGTGTAAGGATTAACTGTGGAGGAGAAGCTGGAACAGGAAGGAATGAGGACACCAGTGAGGGACAATAAAAAGGTAGGGAGAGACAGAGGCTTGGAAGGATTGTGGGTGACTGGGAGTAAGGTGGAAAGAGGCGAAGGGTGGAGCGTGTGTGACATTGAGGCTCTGAAGAGGCTGCTGTTCCTGGGACAAGATCTAGGTGTGACGTGAGAGGCAGGAGTTGGGAAACAAGGTCAGGGAGCAGAGAGGCTGGGGTGGCTGAAGGACCATCTACTTGGTTATGGAAGTCACCGAGAATGATAAAAGCATGTGAGTGTCAGCCCGTGGCTTGGTGGTTAAGGGCACGGGACCCCTCATGGCCAACCATGTGGTTCTAAGTCCTGGACCGGTGGATTGAGAAACATGCTGGGCATGTGTGCGCACCCCAAATCCCAACCGGATGGAGAGAGGTTGGAGAAGGGACTGCGGCATGACCATTCCCCATGGGAGGTGCTTTCCCCTTCTCCACCTCTTGCCATCTTTCTGTCTCCCCCTGGCAAAGGCATGTGCTCTCTGGCAAAAGTTTGGTTTTTTTTTTTTTCAATTACATGTTAAGAGGCAGTGAAGGGTCTGGTAGTGGTGGTTAACGGCATTGGACTCCCACATGGCCAACTATGGTTCGAGTCCCGGACCTGGAGACTTGCTTTCTCACTTTCTTTCTTGCTCACTCTCTCTCTCTCTCTCTCTCTGGAAATATTAGAATAATAAAGTTTAAAAAAAAAAAAAAAGAGGGAACCAGCAGTTAGCATAGTGGCTATGTCGCTGGGCTCCCACGTAGTCGACCGCGGTTCGAGTCCCAGACCCAG